TGGCCTTCTTTCAGTCCTCTGGCACCACACCAGAGCACCACGAGTGCTCGTAAAGCCGTGCCAGGGGTCCTGCAATGACCTCAGCCAATTCCTTTAGTACTCTAGGGTGGAGATCGTCCAGTCCCTCCAGAAGCTCCCTAACTAGTTCCTCACTAACCCTTGGTCCAGGTGTGCCTCCCCTGTCCATAGAAGTTATTCAGAACTCTGCCACTGGTGCCTTTTTAGTGTCCTCCTATTTATGAAAAAACCTACCAACTTTTCAAAGTAAGGTCTACAAGACTGCCTGAATTGCTAAATCGACCCTTCACTATCAATCCAGGATGACAAATTCCATTTTTTTTATCTTGACAAGGGTGTAACCTAAATAACATAGTATCTTTCTCCACTGTTTGTCTGCTCTGCTCCTATGAGCCAGCAGAAAAATTAAATAAACCAAAATCTTGCTCAGGAATTCAGTTTTCATGTAAAAGTATAAACCCTGCTGCTCACAGGCACAAAAGAAAATGGAAAAGTACTCAGAAAACCAAAATAAAGCTGATTGTTTAATTCTAGGTTTGCTGGCCCTTAGCGTTTGCGGATACTAGCTGTAAAGCTGTTGAAGGCATCTAACAGCTATAAATCAAAATCTTGCAGAGGGTTTTTATGACATGCCCATATTTCAAAAACCAGACATAAGTTGGGAATGATCAAATCAGGATATGACGCTGGAAAAATTGTACTCAGTGTTGGGGAGAAAGAAACAGTAAGAAATCTCTTTTTTTCTATTAAGTAAAGTGTGCTGGAGCAGCTGTGATAGGAGAAGTTCATTCTTTTCACTTCAGTGTATTTCCATGAAGGATATATATGATGTCTTGATCACAAGACTTATCTGTTTGTCTGTCATAGGGTCTAGATTTTATGCATGGAGGTAGAAAATTACAAAAATTACTTGCTAACTATATAATATATATGGGACAGTCTCACTCATTCACTATATCTTAGTGGTGATGTGATCTTCTTCGTGTTCTGTTTTAGAGATCCCGTTATTTCTGAATGTTGACAAAATGATCCTTCCTACAGTTAGTCCTTCCATTTCTAGACTAGACATTCTTCTACCAATTTCTTTGGGGGTTTGCCCTTAGTTATTTGAAATGTACCTGTGCAGAAAATACCTGTGCAGTATTTGGAAGTCACTGGAACAATTTGTCATAGCATCATAGCAAGCAAGTGCCAGAAATTCTCTGATACAGAGGAAACCACAATGCATGACTGCCTTGCACTGCCAACCCTCATGACTGGGTTGCAGGAAATGTGTGTGCAGTCAAGGAACTTCATCTCCCCAAACCACTTCTTAGCTGTACGAGTATCATGGCCCTGATTCTAGACTCTGACTTGTGTAAGGGAGCTCTTTTGTATGCAAGGAGACCAACCAACTTCAACTTGTGCATACACACATGCACAGTCTCTCTCTCTCTCTCTCTCTCTTTCTCTCTCACTCACACACACACACACACACACACGCAACTACCATTTCCCATCTTCCTGACTCTCTGTTTTTTGCAGCATCTCTCTTGGCTTTTCCTCAGTAGAGAACACCGTTTTCTTTCATGGACAGCTAGGGCCCTCCACAGGTGAGATGGAGTAATAAGGCAGGGATGGAACAGGAAACAGAAAAGTTCTTGTGTGCAAAAGTGATAGGAATTACATTTCTGTTATAGTTCACATAACTGCTTATTTATTCTACCTGGTTTTCACATGGTTATAAATAGGGTAAAAGAGGCTCCTCACATTGCCTTTCCACCCTGCACTAGACTCAGGAATAGCTCTAGCCTCTGTACAGAATGACACATTACACATGGGTATTAAGGGAAACCAGCTCAGTCCCATCTCCTCCTAAAGGCAGTGTCAGAATGGCACAATCCATCCTTACGAGAGCATATCTGCTTTCCACAGAATCTTTGGTTTCCTGCCTGTATTTTAATGAATTATCCAAACTTGCAGAGGCTGGCACGAAGCACAGTGTAGCTCTGCCACATTCAGAAAACCACAAGAAGACTGACGCTGAATGTCACGTTAGATGTAGAGGCGGTTGTATCAGGCAGTTAACTGAAGGATGCCGATGTGCCAATATGCCTTTAAACAGCAGTGTAAGCTTTGCCTTTACCACAAAACCCAATTGATTTGGATTCAGTGTTAAAGATGTCACCACTGTGTGCACTTATTTAAATTATAGTGAGCTGTCAGTGAAAAATATGATTTTCTGGAATGCCCCCATCTTTTTTCACTGTGTGAATGAAACCCTGTAACCCACAAAGGTGGCAGTGGATTGATACAATGCATTTTTGTTTAGTTTAGTCATACAAAACTGTAGGCAGCTTTTTCATGTAGAAGTGACTCTGGGTAGCTCACACCATTTTTTGTAGATGGTAAGAATGGCATTAGAAAAATCTTCCATCTCTTAGTCACTTTCTCTTGCTCCCATTGTCATTCAGAAATATAGCTACTGCCTGTAGGTATCCCAATGCAATTTTGCAAAACAGCACACTTAGAGCTAAAACAATTCAAATGAGGGGGGAAGTTCAGACTTTGAGAGTGTTGAAGAAAAGAGAAATGAAACAACAAGTTTCCTTGGTCAAGTCATGGATAGAGCATTGTCATTATAGTGGTAGATACATCAAAAAGTGCAGGAAGTATGTGAAGAGTGGCAGGTAGAATGGAGGATTCTGGGAGTTCTGCATGGCAGTAGTGAGGTTTTGGGTCAACTGAAAGCCATAGGATCTGAAGACCCAGAGGAAGTTAATGGGATAATGGGAAACAGCAGGCTGAATGAATATGATAAAAACAACCTTCCCAAATAAAAAGAGAATAAACTTGCTGGGATAACAAAGCCTCCAACACAAAAATGTCAGAGACTTAAGCATGTGAACTACAAGTTTTAAATAAGTATTTGAATGAAAGCAGCAACTAACTTGGAATGAGCAGTTAGCATCACTAGCCAGCAAGTATTTCTTATCTGTACTAACATCAGAACTTCATGAACACCAACTTCAGAGACGAGCACGGTATCATTCCATTCTACATTGCAATGTAAGTATGAAACCAGAACGACTGGCTTCATATGCTGGCTTGAAAGGGAAGTAATGGCTTTCTAAGAAACATCCCTTCCTGAGCGCTCTAGGGTCTTTCTTTGTCAAGACCCACATTCTAACCTTTTTTAGGTTCACTTAGAACAGAAACCTGCTGATAAGAAGAATTATTTGATTATTTAGAATGGACCCAAAGTTTGGCAGATGTGTTCTTTACAGCTCTGCCTCAGATTGTATTTCTGTAAATCACTTCTTTTACTTTATAGAAACAGGTTTTTTTAAGGTTTTTCAAATAGGTTTTTCAAATGCAGATACTCCGCATCTCATTGTTGATGGACTTTCATCTGGAGTCAGAATCCAGTATAGCATGGCTAGAAATCTCTTTAACAACAGCCAGTTAGGTTTCATATCCAAGATAACCAACTCAGTTACTGATCTTTTATATGCTGATGATTATGCCATGTGCATCCACCCAATTGGAGAGCATCAGGGCACCCCAGACTGCTTCTGTGAGGCACATGAATTATACCAGAACCAAAGTGAGACTGACAGGCACTTAATAATTTTAGAGAAATTAATTTTAAACTTCACTGTGCAAAATAATATCATTGGTTATTTATGCGCAGTTATAGCTTCACATTCAACTCACAGGCTGCTGGAAAGAAGTGTTCGGATGGGAATTACTGAGAAAAGGCTGCATACATTTCAGAGTAAAAATCTGTTTTCTTTTCTTTGATTTCCTCTTCTTCCGGTCAATCAACTGACAACTGTTTGTGGCTGCCTGTGATAAAAATCATACTTCCTGACTTGGTGCCACAAAACAGAAAACTGGCTTTTAAAGCTGAGGTAAATATGCAACCTACTGCTTATGGGTATACCTAGTACAACCTATCTGGGAGATATAAAAGGTAGTGTCTGTCTTCATTTTTGTCATTTAAAAAGGTGACACTTCTAAAAATACAGCTAATCCATTTCTGTAAAAAGAATTTGAGATTGTCAGCCAGACCCCAGCAGTCTTTCCTGCCCAAGTGCAGTGGGGCTGGACCTGATGATCTCTAAGGTCCCTTCCAGCCCCTAACATCTATGACACTATGAACCTATAAAACCCTAACTGTTCTGTATGATCTATCCTGTCTCTTGAAACAGAATACAGGTACCTACCAAACAACATTTAGAATATGTCCTATGATTAGGTTAAATCAGTTTACTAGTGTGTGTCTTTTGTACATACTTTCTTTCTTATTTCTTGGTGGTTTTTCATTTATCTGAGTTTACCTTCTACTCTCTCAAACCCTCCACTCCCCTCTACCTCAAAGTGTTTCTCTGCACATGCCCACTAGCGTGCTCTCAGAGGGTCATAGGAAGGAGTCTACGTGATGGAGGAAGAGCAACTGGGATAGTGGCAGAGTGAGACAGATGATGCAGTGCGATGTGGATAGAGATAAAGGCACATAACACAGTGCGAGCAAGTCATGGAGTTTTGAAAGGGACTGTGCTATTGTGAGCGAGATAAGAAATGAGTAAGTGAGAAATTAAGCAGCTTTAGCAGAAAAAGTTGTTCGTATAAGGTTATCAAGTCCATTTCATCTCCTGTGATAACTGAGTCAGTGGAAGAAAGGGTGGCAAGTAACAAAACCAAAAAGGATTTTGCAAGCATGGCCTGCCATGCATTGCCTGCATGAGCTGCAGGTCAAGATAGGAAGCAACTATTTTGAACTGGGCAAGGGGTGAGTAGAAGCTAACCAAAAAAAATCGAGGAAAAAAAGGAGGACAAAAATGGAGGACAGCCTCTCTCTTTTTTTTCCCTAATTGATACCTGAACCTAAAACTTAATGAAAAATAGTATATGCTTTGCCTACCTTATTTGTGATGTCAGCTAGATCTCACATTTTATGCCAAAGTTGAACCAGAACCCCTGTTGACGTATCTTATTCAAAATAAACATATCTCAATTAAATGTCACACCTCAAGACCTTGATTTACCCATTCCTGTACAGTGGTCAGAAAAAAGGGCAAAGCTGTTGTGCACAAACAGGCTTAATCACTAGAAGCGGCTGTGTGCAGCTTGAATGGGTAAGTCCAAAATGCATGTGTATCTGTTTATTTGAGCAACTTAGATTGATTTTGCGCTGACAACTAGTAACATTTTTCACTTACCAATTCTAGACCAAAGATCATTCTCCACAGCAACACCTAAGCACTTACCAGCAGTACAACTTGCTGGCAATCAACAGCCACCGTTTCCTGCACAGATGCCATCTCCCTAACTAACTACTTCTATTGCTTTCCTAGACCAATTTTAAGATTTTTTTTTTAGCAAACAGCATGGAATCATGGAGCAACAAATCAGAGGAAACTGTTTGTCTACCAGTAGTAGAAAGGAAATGAATTTGCTATAATAATCCCTTGTGGTATAACATCCTAGGCTGAGATCCAGCCAGAACCACTAAACTTTTATGCAACATTATTCATAAGAAGATCTCAAAATACTCAACAAAAGTGGCCAATATTGCACAATCCATTCTACAGATGGGGAACCTGAGGCAAAGAAAAGTGGTGAGACTTGTTCAAAGTCACGAAACAGGCAATAGCACTTTGGCCTTTTGGGTTCCATTCCTCTGCTCTGTCCACTAGCCAACACTGTCTCCAAAACTTGCAACCTGTCTCTGAGTGAATCAAGAGAAAACCCAAGGGCTCCCACAAAAATCCATACTGATTAAATTTTCCAAGCAACAGCATGCCACAAGTTTGGCTGCTGGCATGTGCAACTGGCTGATTAGGTATTCAAACCATCAGCTATATTTCAAAATGCTTGATCTAAATGTGCAAAAGCACATGCAAACTGAATGTGCAACACTGTGCACAAATTCCAGTGCTCCAAGTTCCAGATGTTTGTTCTTTTTTTCAAAGTTGCCATCTATCAGATGACAGCTTCTGTTTTAGTCAAGTAAGAGAAGTTGTCAGCAATCTATATTTTCATTCATGCTTTAATCAGCTACTGTCATTGGTGATCGCTCACACATTTCCTTAAGAAGCCACCATAACAGCCTATTCACAATGCTCAGGTTTCATATTTTGCCCACTAAAGTGCCAGGATCCTAGTAGATGATAAGTTTCTATTATTAGAAAGAGATAGTGGGTTTCCTATTTCTTTTTCTCGGTATTTATTTTAAACAACCAATATGGGTAGAACCAGCACCTGTCTTTGACAAACTGTAGTTAAATGTTTCACAGGTATGTCTAGACTGCTGTGAAAGTTACTGAGTATTCTACTACTATAAATTCGGGAGCTGCTTATACTAACCTGCTAGTGTTTTATAACCATTGCAAAATATTTTAGCCTGAAAGATGTGCATCATTCATGTGATAGTACCTTTCTAATGAGAGGATCCTGCAAAAACTGCACCCTATCCCTACAACAGTAAAAATATGATGGGGTGCTAAGCATAGGAGTCAACCAAAAACAGCCAGAATCTATTTAGCAAAGGATAAAAGATAAAAACAAGAGGCTTCCCCACCTCTTTTGCTGACCCTTGGTTCTCTGCTTATTGCATCTATCATAGCATGTGTTCCACAGTCCCAAGGGTTTTGCTTATTTCCGAGTCTTTTTTCTTTCTCATTCCAGATTTTTACATTGTTTATATTGTTTATATTTCCATTGCTTATATTTTCCCTTCTAATTATTTCTGGCTTGCTGATTCCCTGCCACCCACATCCCCACATATACACCTTCCATCACAAGCTCTCCATTTCCCAAATCATTCCTTTACAAAGACTTGTTTATTCTCTCCCTCAGCCATCCTTATCCATGTATTAATTTGCTCTCAAGTGGGCAAAAAGTGGCCAAAGCACCAGCCTGGGACTCAGGAGACCACCAGCGTCCTGGGTGACCCTGGGCAAGTCACTTCACCTCACTTTGTTTCAGTTTCCTCATCTGTAAAATTGGGATAATGGCATCAACCTCCTATGTAAATGCCTTGAGATGTACAGATGGAAAGAGTTAATAAAATGGAAGAATTTTTATTTTTTGTAATCTTTCCTTCTCACCTACCTCAGCTTCACTTTCTCTGCTCCCTCTTACATTTGCTTTATCATTGTGGCAAACCACACTCCTGAAACCTCTGCTTATCAGCTAAACGCACTTGACATCATCCAATAACTGTCTTTCTCTGGGCTATAAGAAGACTGGAATCTAAAGGACTCCTATGGGGAGAAGAGCACAAGAAAGCAGCTGTCTCTTGGGGAATGGGAAGCTCCAGGAGAGGTATAATGGAGTAGAAATAGAGGACATTCAATGGAAGTTATTCCTCTAAGGCTGAAAAATTACTGAACAGAAGAACAGAGTGGACTCAAGAGTGTTGGTGGGAGCCATTGCCATGAAGTTGTGAGGAGCAGTGTAGGTCAAAGAGCCCATAGCAGGGAGCTGTAAGGAAGAGCAGCAGCAACTCTAGAGAGTGCATCTGGTTCTCTGAATTCCCAAAGAACCAGGAACAAGAGCAGAGGATGGTCACAGAGCAAGGCTGCTGCTCGAAAGCTCAGCACAGCAGTGCCCTAAAAAAGGGAAAACCAGCAAGCAGGTCAAAAAGGAACAAAGCAGCACACAGACATGCTACCTAGAATAAGAAAAACTACCCCTGCTTTTCATGACATACTGCTTCACAGTAGCAAAGCTTGGGGGGCAACCAGAACAGCAGCCCTGAGTGCCAAGGTTAGGAGGGTGCAAAAATAGCAGCTACTACCCTGCCAGCCCTGCCACCACCATTAGCATAGCTACTAATGTTTCCCAGGAGACAAAAGGGTCCATATATACCTCTGCCACTGCCAGTGGAGTGAAATGTTGAAAAATTCCATTTAAACAAAAAATGCAATCTCATAAACACAACCGAAGAAAGAGGCAAATGAACGGAGGTTAAGATGCCCTGCAGTGGAAATGCTGATGTTCTAGGAAACTGAACTGAGTATATTGGTGCAGCTTAATATGTGCCACATGAGTGGGATTTACCTATTTACATTTTCCTTTCATGGCTCTGCAAATGAAAATGCATAACTGTACTGATCCCACTCCCTATTGCACATCTCTAACTGCACTGGAATCTAGGGGAAATAGAAGAGGAAGAGGTTTTACAATACATCTTGGGCTTTGTATGCAGGAAGACGCCAGATTTCATTGATCCAACACTGCCTAAACTAGTTTTCTTATTTCTTTTAAATATGAATTTTGTATTTCTTAGAACTAAGCTTGAGACCAATTTTCAGTTCAATGTAGCCTCCAAATCGCAGATCAAATTGATGGCCTGTGACATTTCTGTATGTGCAAATACTCATATTTGCATACGGAGCGCTTCATACTTTTTATGTAAATCAGATGTTTAGGTATGCAACTTTGGCATAACTCCATTTTTTGGTATTAAAAGCAGGCAATAAGAAGACATATAGAATTTGGGAATTTTTAAAAAAAATCTCTTAATTTCTAAAATGTTTTTGCTTCTTCCCAATTTTATTTTGTGATGAGACAAAGAGCCATTTGGATGATTTTTGC